CCCAAGGCAATTTTGATACCAGAAGCTTCTGGATATATCTTTGAAAAACCAGGTTTGGGAAGAAATAATGCTCCAAAGCAGTACTCATTCCCCTGGCTATATCCCTGAGTTGATAACCAGCACAGTGGTCCCAGTACTTCAGCAGCTTTCAGAGTTAGATGGATGGGGATGGAGAGAAAGAAAACAAAGGCCAGGTAGGCTCCTAATCAACTGCAAAATAGGCTGGAATAAAGCACGGCATGTCTCATAAAAACAGCTCTTTAAAAAAAAGGTGCCAACCCAAAACTAAAATAACTTTTAACTAAGAAGTCTGTAATTGACACAAGGACATCTGTGATGCGGTCCATACGACCACAGAACAAGCAGACCAGATACAGGGCTTAGGAGTCATGAGCTGCAAGTGAATGCATCCAACTCAGAATCAAATAAACATGCCTGGGCTCTCAGCCAGGAAGAATTCTTGGATTGGACTTTTATCAGGGGCCTAAATTTTAACCAGCTGGAACATCCCCCCCACCAATACTACCCTATTCCTTTCTACCTTTGGAGATGAAATATTTGCCTTAAATGGGAAACTTGTACTTCGTTGTGTGGTGCCAGCATACAGTTTCCGAACTGCTAAAGACAGTCTTTTGGGGGAAGGGGTTTAGAAATGGTAGTTCAGACACAATAGACCAGGGAATATGTACGCCATCTAGGGTAGGAGACCAGAAATGGCCCACAGGAAAACCTACTAAAACAGAAATTTGTGAGAATGGATGTCTAGGTTTTTGGTTCACTTGTTTGTTTGTTGGTTTACTTGCTCGCTCTTTAAGTTAAGGTCCCGATATGTAATGATTCATGTTGGCCCAGAACTTACAATAAGGCCTCCAAGCTGGCCTTGAACTCTCAATCCTCCTGCTCTGCCTCCCAAGTGTTTATATGGGTACGGCCCACCAAGCCTGACTTTGGAACTCCTGTTCTCAGCAAGACAGGGGGAGGTTTCAGAATCTTCCAGCACAAAGGATTGACACATTGAAGGTACCCACCACAAAGAGAACCACTCCTCCATCAAAGAGTTGAGGGTAGGGAAATGAGTCAATGGGCAGAAGCTATTGCTTGGCAAGCAAGAGTTCAAATCCTCATCACCCAAATGAAAAGTCAAACATGGGCTACCCAAGCTTATGTGGCTATCTATGCCTGTAACACTGTGAGTGCCGAGGGGAGCAGAGACAGGAGGATCACTGGGGCTTGCCAGCTGCCCAGCCCAGTTCCAGGTTCAGTAAGAGACATGTGTCAAGGGAATAAAACAAAGTAACAGAACAAGTCACCTGACATCCTCTGGCCTCTGCCTGGGTGCACACCTGCACAACCTAATCCAGTAAATCAACTAAATAAAACACACATATCAAAAAATAAGGTGTCAGGCGGCAGTAGTGGTGCACACCTTTAATCTCGGCACTCCAGAGGCAGACAGATCTCTGTGAGTTCCAGGACAGCCAGGGCTGTTACCCAGAGAAACCCTCACACAACCAAAATAAGAAAGAAAGAAAGAAGTGTAAGTGGGAAGGGTTCAAGCCAGTGTCAAGGCAGGAACCGGCCCCTCTGGAAGCTTTACAAATTGTTACTCCTTTGAAAAAACAATATTTACTATTCAAAGCACAACCTTACCTGGCAAAGACTTTGAAAGTTTTTTTTTCCTTCAAATAGTTGAGGAAGTGTGCCCACAAACTCATTTCTAAAACATTGAGCTGTGTTCGAGATGGTATCAGCCCCTTAATGACCCCACAAGGAATAGGGGGGGGGGTTGTGAAACCTGACCACTTAAATGAGGCCAGCCCATGGCCCCTGAGAGCAGCTCTCCTGGCTGCAGCACCTTTAAATCCCGGGAAAACACCCAGTCCTCTCACGGCCTGGGTTTCTGGCCCAAATGCCCTGTGGAGATTAAGTGGGGCATTCAACTCATCTGTTCTCCAGTGTCCAGACCCTGCCCCGCCTTCAGGCTTCAAGGCTCAAGGTTCTAAGTGACACTCAGACCCCAGTCTGTCCAAATCACATATAATTTGCTCTTATTCCTTGTTTTTGTTTGTTTGAGGTAGGGTCCCACTGTGTATCCTCAGCTGGCCTGGAGCTCAATATGTGGCCAAGCTGACTCTGAATTCACAGAGATCTGCCTACCACTACCTTCTGAGTGCTAAAGGCTTGTAGTACCACTCCACCCACCATCTTTATTCTTTATCCTTCCCCTGACTCTCCAAACAATGCGGAATGACCCCAGACCCTGTGGGATGCTAGGTGAGCACTCTACCAATGAGCCACAGTTTCTACACCCCCTCCCAGCTTTTTTTTTTTTTTTCTGGAGGGGAAGGGGGCGACTCACAGCCATCCTCCTGCCTCAGTCTTTGACTTTTATTCTTATATATTTATACAGACCCAACTAGACTATAAGTGACCTCAGAGTCAAGGGCCAACCTCCACAGGCTGAGTACCAGACCTGGATAGACAGGGCAGATATGACTCAAATACCCAAGATTCTGAACACTAGCTCCTACTAAAACTCCATGGCAGCCAGGAGCGCTGTGCAAAGGCCTACTACAGACAAGACACAGCACATGGAAGCCTGGTGCTGAGATCTCCTTGCCTGCCTCCCACTGGAGATGAACCCAGACCTCGAGCATGCCAAGCACATGTTCTACCACTGAGCTGTATCACCCCCAGCACTCTTCCTTCCTTCCTTCCTTCCTTCCTTCCTTCCTTCCTTCCTTCCTTCCCTCTCTCTTTGGAGACAGGGTCTCTCTAAGTTGACTAGGCTAGCCCTGAAACTCATTCTGGAGCCTAGGCAAGCCCCCAACTTTTGTTCCTGCTGCCTCAGCCACCTGAGTAGCTGGTATCCGAGCACTAGGCTCAGCTCTCCCAATCCTTCAAATCATTTAACAGAGGATTTTGCAGAAAGATTGCATGGTCTACATGTCCTCAACCAAGATCTATAGGGCGCCAGGCTTTGAGGCCACCAAGGAAACTGAACACACAAAACTGGTGAATGGCCAAAGAGTAAGGGATCTGAATAAGACAGTAAAGCACAGGGCATGGCATTCTGGGAGGGCTTCCCTAAAGAGACATCACATGAGCTGACCGTCAAGCCAAGCAGGGAGCTCTCAGGGCAGAAAACAGTCAAGATGGAAAGCACACTCTGGCAATGTGAAAGGAATTAGAAGCTAGACAACAGAGAGGGAGGGGGCAGGAAACACTGCTGTGCGAGGAGAGTGGGTAAGCCAGGCTACTCTGTACATGTACCAAGCAAGCAATTACAGAAGGAAAGGAGCCATGGGAAAGAGCCTGGAATCTGGGATATGGCCCAGAAGCTTCCACGCTCATCCAGGAAGGAGATGAGGAAAGGACTGTAGTAGGTACCAAGGCAGGAGTTGTTGAGATCACTCCCAGGTGGACAAGAATGTGGGTAACAGTGATGGGACCACATCCATGGGGATGGGGGGGCATGGAGGGATGGGGTTTGGGGGGGGTGGCGGTTATTGAGGGATATATTCAAAAACACTGCTTTGGCTTCTTCAGAGACAACTATACACCCAATGTTAACTACAGAAAAGCAACAACTGCCAGTACCAGTCTAGATCTAAAATCTTAGAAGAATTGATAAGCCAACCTGAGATCGCCTTAAGGAAATTTGGAATCTGTTTAAAAAAAACAAAAAACTAATAGTGATGTTTTACTGCAATGGAACACAGCAAGAAACCTTGAGGCTTCACCCAAACGGGAAAGAACGACAGCGTTCACTAAACAGGAAAAGAGTGGGAATCGTTGACCATAGCTGCCCGCTCTTACCTGGTTTTCTGAACTGTGATCCTCTCAAATGTGAAGCAAGTGAACTAAGTGTCCCTAAGAGGTGTCCTGTCCTGGGTCTTGTCTGTACTGAGGCTGTTTAGTAGAGTCCACGGGAAAAGGTAAGTCAACCTTGGTCTAAGCAAACTGCCCCAACATGTCCCGGAGCCCTGCGGAAATCAGCAACACCATACCCCACCCCCCCTTCTACTTTCTAGGTAAGGAAACTGAGACTGGGTATTCCAGACATGCTCCGGACTGCCTGAGTGCAAAGCCTGTGTTCTCACAATAGGGTTGACGGTGTGAGTGGCCTGACTTGCAGCGCCCTTGCCTCTGTGGAAGGCTCAAGGTCCGCAGACCAGGGGACCGCACTACCCAGACAACATCACAGGAACACCCGCACTGGGGAGAGGGCTTCCAAGTACGCAGAGTAAGTCTGGGCGCCACCAGTTTCAGGTCTGGGGCACCTGGCGGAGCGGACAAACTTTCGCTGCCCTTTGGCCATGAAAACATTTACAACTCAAGCTGGGACGTGTTGAAGGGTAGTGTGGCACCATGACACCATTAGCCAGGCGAAGGGCTGAATGGCAAGGAAAGTCTCTCAGAAAGTTAGGATTCGGCAGTGGGGTAGGCGGAGGGTGACCGAGCTGCCTAAAAGGAACAGGAACAAAGCGACTGAGAGAAAGGGGATGCATCGTTCCCTAATACTAAAGGGATGCATCCAGGTTCCCTCCCTGGATGCCCTAAGCCCTTGCAGAGCTGTAGACTAGAGGTTCGGGGCACGAACCACGGGCTCCGAAGCGCACCCGTTCCGCAACAGCCCGGAAGATCCAAGTCCGGGGCGCGTAGCCCTGGGGCAGAGGACCGGGAACAAAGGGTGGGGCGCACGGCCCCCGCCCCGCCGCCCAGCCACCCGCCCTCGGGAGTCGGACCCCAGCCAGCGGCCGCGCCTCATTAGCAACACAAAGCCAGGGGTCGGCGGCCCCTTTCATCCCGAGCGGGGACCAGCGGATGCGCGCCCAGGGACCGAGACGCGGGGATGGGCTGGAGGAGCCGGGGACCCCACTGACGGCAGATCAGGCGTCTGGAGATCGGGCGGCCCCGGCTCGCCCGCCCGCCCGCGAGCACCTGTGCTCGCCGCGCGCCCCCAGGTAAGGGGGAGCCCAAAGAAACCCTCGCCTTACCCTCCAGCCACAGGTGTCGGCGCCCCTCGCGCGGCCCGAGCCCCCCGCAGCCACTGCCAGCTGCGAGCCGTTGAGGCAGGCGTTGACAGTGAAGAAGAAGGAACAGAGCTGCAGCCACGGGGCCATAGCCGTACGCTAGCCCAGCGGGGCCCTTCTCCGCTCGGCTGCCGCCTGCAGCTCGCTCCCAGTCCCTAGTGGGCGGTGGCAGCCGCGGCAGCAGGGGGCCGTCCACACCGAGCATGCGCGGCCGGGCTTCGCCCCGCCTCTCTCCTCCAGGTCCCGCCCCCGGTCTCAGTTCTCCCACCCCGGCCCTGCCCCTCTAGCCCGCCCCTCCTGTCTTGACCCCGCCCCGCAGCCGCTGAGACTGGGGCTTCAACAAGTTTCAACCCCCTCACCCAGGGAACTTTTTTTTTTTTTTTTAAATCCAAAGGATTTGTCCAAATGATGACTGCTCCATACAAAAACTTGGAGCGACTCAAAGAATATAATAATAGTAATTTTAAAATTAATAATTTAATGAGTACTTGCTTTTCAAATGTCAAGTTCCTTCTTGCGTCCCACCAATGACAGAGGGAAATGTCAGTATTAATGTCAGCATAATAAGGCCTCTAGAGAAATCCTGGCTCTACATTTACTCCTGGGACCTAGGACAAATTACTTGCTTCCTCCACGGCGCTTTTCCCTGTAAGACAAAAGGAAGAGCAAGAATCTTCAGCCGGGGAGAGTTCTGTGAGTTAACATGTAGCAAGCAATAAAGGCTACAAACCACAAACTGACTTGCATAAGGACACGGAGCTAGAACTGAAAATTACTGTTCTTCACAGACACAAGTCAAACTTACCTTGTGGAGTGTGTGTGTGTTATATCTGGAAAAAGAGGCAAAGACCTCCTTTAGAGCACCATAGTAACAAAATATGTAACTTTTCACTGCGGGTTTTTCCACTCCTTAGCCACATACGTGTGCACCTAAACCACACCCCTCATCATTGCACCCTCCTTCACCTCTGTGGCAGCTTCACGGCTGTTTCTGCTTAAACCTACCAAACTTTTATCCATCCTGGATACAGATCCCTGAATTTTCCAGCTCTTCAGTAATGATGTTCTAGAAGGAAATCCATCTTGGTCTTCACCCTGCCTTTATTTCTTATCTATGACTATACTGATAGTCCCCCTCCACGCAATCTTGATTTTTTTTTTTTTAAGCCGTTACTTTGCCCATCCAACAAGGCAACTTCCTTTGCATTCCAGAGCCTGGAAATCATTCCTTCTAGCAGCACATGGCGGCTCTTTAATCCCAACACTCAGGAGGCGGAGGCGAGGTAGGAATGTTTTGGTTTGTATGTCACTGTCAGGATATTCAAGTATTCGAACATGCCCAGACTGGGTAGGCACCTATCCTCATTGTGGGGTGGTAAGGTCCACAGAAGACTGCACCCCTAGATGAGCCTGCCCCATGTAGACTGCAGGAAGCACACAGCTCCTCCCACAGATCTGTCAATCAGTACTTTTCTCCCATCGGCCTTCCTACTCAGAATACCTCTAGTCATTCAAAATCCCCTTAGAAAAGGCTATCCAGGGTCAGGCTTGCCACAGGCTGAGATTTAGTCAGGACGACCTGAGCCTTGGTGAAAGACTGAGGAAACCATGAAATTATTGGCTCCTTAATCTACATGCATTTCTGCCTAGATGTGTTCCATAATATACTAGTCAATCCAAGCCCAGGATGTTCTGTGATAATCAATGATTTAAAAATATCCCCACACATTTATGTGTGGGGATATTTTGTGTATGATCTAACAAATAAAGCTTGCCTAAAGATCAGAGGGCAAAGCCAACCACTAGTGAGCCATAGAGGCCAGGCAGTGATGGCACACACCTTTAATTCCAGAACTTGGGATCTCATGCCTTTGCTCCCAGTACTTGGGAGGCACACACACCTTTAATCCCAGCACTAGGGAGGTTGAGACAGGAAGTGATATGGCTAGGCAGAGAAAAGGAATGTAAGGTTGGAGGAGACAGGCGCTCAGCCCTTTTGGCTGAGGAGTTGGTGAGGTGAAAGGTGGCTGTGGCTTGTTCCTTTGTCTCTCTGATCTTTCAGCATTTACCCCTGATATCTGGCTCCAGGTTTTTATTAAGACCAATTAGGATTCATGCTCCAGATTTTTATTAAGACCAATTAGGATTCGTGCTATACATTTATCTCATTTTTTTTCTCATTTTTTTAAGGATACATTCCTAACCCTGAGGTTTCTGAATTATGAACATTAACTACTACCAAAGTGCTCATTATCTCATTGTCTCCTTAATTACTTCTCTGGTTGCTAATAAGGTGGTTCTAATTTCAGCCAGCTCTCCCTCTTGTCTGGCTCACCCTCCTGTCCTCAATGCTTGGCCCTCTACTTGTCCTGGACCAGTAGGCAAAAAACGGTCATTGCCAAAAAGATGTTGATGGGTCGGGAGTATACTTATCAGCTATTTGGACATCTTTCTTTGTTTGACATTGTATTCTGAGAGAGAGGGGAGAGAGACAGAGAGAGAGAGACAGAGAGAGAGAGACAGAGAGAGAGAGAGAGAGCGCACTACACGCAGTTTATGGCAGAGAGCCTTACAAACAGTATTGGGGAGATGAAGTGTTGCCTCCGGAGGAGTTTTATTCAAATTACCAGGTGACTTTGTGACAGTGAAGGCAGAGCCACCCTTCCATTCTTTGCTGTCACTCTGCCCACTGTTGGACTTTCTTCTGTCACACTCACTGCACAACCTGTCGCTGGTTGGCAGCCTTAGAGCATATGTAACAGTCCAGAGAGTGCTATACTGCTATACTTTTCTGAACAGTGTGGTGGGTATGGAAAGAAAAACGTGGGGTGTCCAGATTAGACCACAATAGAAAGACATCCCTCAGGCCTGAGAAATCAAGGGCCTTTTGTTTACCTTTTATCAAGTCCCTAAACATGTGTGGAAGTGAGAGGGAAGCTACATACATCAAAGGGTCAAATTTGGTCAGGAAATTTGGGTCATAAATTGGCGTTTGGCAATACCGTTGCCATTCTGGTCGTCCTTAGTGGTTATCATCTTTTAACTCTGGCTCTTCGTAATGTTGAGGGCATGGGAAGGGTTCTAGCCTGGAAAATCAGCTAAAAGGAGGGGCCAGGACCTCACATGGCCTCGTGGATCATGATTTCCTCCCCACAGCTGAACCTCACTGCTGTAGAGATGAACAGGGAAGCTCCCCCCAAAGCAGGATCGGCTGCTGCCCACTAGGGACAGGATGGTTGTGGACCCTTTACAGCCATCCTTCACCAATCCTACCTGGCTCACTTCTCTGCCCTCAGTGTCTGTCACTCTGGTTGGCACTGACCAGTGGACAAGACAACACCATCACCAATAAGAGGCTGACGATCTGGGAGTGTAGCCCCATGAACAACATTTGTCTAGCAAGTCCCTGGGTTCCATCCCCAGTATAGCCAAAACAAGAAAAATGTTGCTGGAGATAAACAAATATATCAACTGTATTTCCTCACTCTACCAAAAACCTAGTCAGATAAGAAAAATCCTTAATTACAGTGCTGGATTTTGTTAGAGGTCAAATTATACCTTGAAGCTGATAAAGTGATCATGGAAATAACTTGTCACAAGCCTCTTAAACCAGGAATAACTAAAAATTAAAATCAGAAAGCTGAAATTGTAAATTATCTTTGGTGTTATGTTTTCTGAACTTATTATGATATTAAGCCAAATATGATGGCTTAACTTGTAATCAAGCTTTTTTTGTTTTTTAAAGATAGGATTTTGGGCTGGAGAGATGGCTCAGAGGTTAAGAGTACTGGCTGCTCTTCCAGAGGTTCTGAGTTCAATTCCCAGCAACAGTATGGTGGCTCATAACCATTTGTAATGAGAGCTGGTGCCCTCTTCTGGTATGCAGGCATACATGCAGACAGAACACTGTATACATAATAATAAATAAATAAATATTTAAAAAAAAAAAAAGATAGGGTCTCAAGTAGTCCTGGATGGCCTGTAATTCCAGACTGACCCTGAACTCACAGAGACCCTCCTGCCTCTGCTTCCCTAACACTGGTATCAAAAGCTTACATCTTCACTTCAGGCTTTCCCTACAAGTTTAAAACTAGCCTGAGCTATCAAATGAGGTCTAGGCCTGTCTGGGGACTAAATGATGAGACTATGAATGTTCTTGCAGAGGACCTAGGTTAGGTACCCACCACCACAAGGTCCTTCACAAGGGTCTGTAATTCCAGTTTCAGTGGATCCGAAGCCCTCTTCTGGCTTCCACCAGACCATGGGACACATGCAGGCCCAATATTAATACACATAAAATAAAATGAACAAATCTAAAAATAAATAAACCCACAAACAATGTAAGTTAAAAAAAAAAAAAAGTAAACAAGGGGGCCTCTTTACTTCTATCCCAGTCTCCTAAACAACAGATTTTGCAAGGCTTCCCAGGGCTTTGGGGGTGCATATGCAGGAAACTGGCCCCATCTCAGCTCTGTCAACCCAAAGTCCCGCCTGCCTGCCCTGCACAAGGCCACCTTGGCCCCAGTAGGAGTGGAGTCTTCGGTCTCAGTAGGGCAGTACTCATCATCTGCACACAAGACTGCTCAGAGCAAATTTTTTCCAGTCACAAGCCGGGCACCCTGCCTGCATCCACAGTCCCCGGACTCCTCTTATTCCTTCAGACTTCCTCCTGAGCTCTACCTTTGCCTTTGAGACCAAGTGCAGGAGCCTAGAAGTGCAGCACTAAAGGCATCCACAGCTCCGTGAGCACTTTCCACCTTAAAAAAAAATCTGATCTTATGTCGCCCATTTTGGCCCAGAATTCGCTAGGTAGCCTAAGGTGGTCTCTGAGCTCCAGTCCTGCCTTCATTTCCGGAGTGCTGGGATCACAGGCACGAGCTGGTTCTCCATGTTCCGGCTTCTTTTTCAGGAGAAAATGAAGTGTTGGGCATCCCCACAGAGACTCCCAGCAAACGTGTGCTGTCCAGGCCTGGGTGCCCACGTTCCTGCTTTACGTCAGGGCAAGTCTAGGGCCATCAAGGACACAGGACAAAATTAACAGGGCAGGTGCAAACTCACTGTAATCCAGAGCTGCCGCTAAATTTTAGAGAAAGTGGCCTTCAGGAGGCAGTCAGAAAGCAGGCAACGCTGAACAACCACGGGTTTGGGGGCGGCCATTTTCGCAGGCAGCGGGAATGAGAG